AGAATTGACGTGAATTTCCAACCTCTGACCTCTCACCAATGTACACTTATACCTGCCTTTTATTTTCTGTTTTATTTTGCAAAACAAAATAAATAAATAAAGAAGAAGAATGAATGAAAGCAAAAATAAATCCCACCTCTCAATTTTGGCTGGTTTGCTGGATTTTCTTGATTAGCTGTCTCGGCTCCTCAGTAATCAGGTGAGGTGTTAATGGGGAGCTGGTTGTAAATAAAACTAATAAAGCAAAGAACATATTAGGAAATTAAAAAAAGGCGAGGACCGAGAGGCTGCTAAAAACATTGTAGCGAGCTGAGCGTTTCCCCATCATGTCGTTTTTTTCGTTCTGTGCTTATTCACAGCTGAGCAGCAAACCCCGTGTTGTTGCCATCTCTCCACATTTTTTTTTTTTTTTCAAATCGCAGTGAACCAGCCACGGACTGCATCAACCCTTCCCACTTTCATAAAAACCCTCTCAAACGGAGTCGCTAAACAGCAAACTTCAGCCTGATCTGATGTGATATGATATACGGATTCATGGAGCAACCTCGCTTTGCCAAACCCGATGAAACTGTGAGTTGTCATGCAATACTACGCAGTCAGACCTGGGGTAATTGTAAAAAGTGAACCCAATTTAACCCATTAGAATAAAATCAGATGCCAAGATGAATCGGAATCATTGCTTCTTAGGTGACAGTACTGATGACAATTGATCCACCGGCTCAAAACAATAGAAAAATATAGGGTCGGGAGTCATTTATCGCACTGGGAGTCTCCCTCCCGGGGGGGGGACGCGGGGAGCCGGCGGCGGGGCAGGAGCCGGTCCCGGCCGGGCTCCGGAGGGGGCTGCGGCCGCGCCTCTCGCTGGCTGTTACCGAGCGGCTCCGGCGGGCAGGGGCTGACCGCAAGGACCCTGTGCCCGGGGTGCTCTCTCCGGAGCAGGAACACGAGGTGACTTCCCCCTTTGCCTTTGTTTGCCTGTTTCTCCTAACTCCCGTGACAGTTGCAGTCGCTCTATCCCTGAGCCGTATGACCCTTAGGTCTACGTGGCCAGCTTGGTAATCTATTAAAAAAAAAAAAAATAAAACAAACCACACCACGGAGTAAAAGCGATGCTAATTATCTTCCTTGGAGTTTGCCAGGGAGCGGAGACCCGGGAGCCGCTCTCCCCGCCCCGGGCCGCCTTCGTCCCGTCCGGCGGGGGGAGACCCCCCCGGCGGCGCTGCGGCCCCCCCCTCCCGCGGGCAGGACACCAGGAGCCCGGGGCTTGGCAGGGAGGACTTCGGGTCCGCGGGAACCGCGAACTCGGGGGTGCAGCAAAGAGCACATCCCACCTAACGACAGCTCACCTGGAGACACAGGCCGGGGAGGAGTGGGGAAGGGGGTGTGTGGGGGGGGGGCTGCTGGCAGAGAACTGAGCAGCCCCGCAGGAGGAGCAGGTTTGGGGCAGGTGACCGTGGGCTCTGAGCACGCAGAGTGGTGCTTTGCCGGCTCCGGGGCCCTGCAAGTCCGTCTCGCTCCCGTGCTCTGCCCGGCGAGAACTTCTGAAGTAAGATTTTTATTAAACCCGCTGGCGAATAGGAAGTTTAAAGCCACCCCGGGCAAAAGCGGGAGCAGCCCTCGGGCGGGATTAGCTGAACCCGACGGTCTGTGCCTGTGCCGGGGGGCGGCTGGCCGCGCAGGGGAGAGAGGTGCCTGCATGGGACTTCTCTCTTCTTAATCTCCCTGAAATAGCAACGGCCATCTGCGCCGAGGTACAATAATAAGAATTATTATTATCATAATCACCATGGCTGTTATTGCCTCCACTTTGAGGGAAGGTGCCGGGGCCTTGCCGGGGCCCGGGGCGCTGGGAGAAGCCCAGCCCGGGCCGACCCCGCTCCCGTTCCCGGCCCGGCAGGACGGCGCAGCCGGCGGCATCCGCAGCCTCGGGCTCTTCCCCGCTCCTCAGCTTTCTTTCTAAAGCGCCCCAAATATACACTTTTTCCCCCCAATTACCGTCGCTCTAATGAGAGCAGGAGGCAGAGGAATATGCAAGGCTTATAATAAGCCACCTGCTGCGTTGCGACTCGCTAATATTATGCTTTATTCCATTATTAGCGCCGCGGCGGCAACGTAACTGGACCTCGCATCACGAATTCCCCACCTAGCGCCACAGCCGGGAGGAGAGGACCCCGCCACGCCGCTGGGGGAAGCGGGGGCTGGTGGCCGTTGGGCGACGGTGCCCGATGCTGGGCTCCTGCCCGCGGAACCGGGGCCCACTGGCGGCTCCTCGGCGTGGGGCTGGGTTCTGCCCTCATCTTTGGGGCGCATGGCTCGCTGGATGCGCTTATAGCTGCCTTTCCCCCCAGCGAGCCCCCTCCCCATCTATTTGCACGCGGAGCTATATAAACACCAGTGATAGTCTCGTACGTGAAATCACTGTTTGCTAGCACAGCTATTCCAACTCGTTTCAGATATTTGGACTCAGTCTGTTCAATGTAGCTTCAACCTATTGACTTGCCAGACGAGATATTCATGTGGACCCAGTTGCTGAAACAGACTTTAGCTCTAAACTGTGCTACTCTCCATCTGACGGATGTTAATACACAAACGAAATCCATTTGGGTTTTTTTTTTTTGTTACCAGAAGGCTGCGCTGACGTTCAAATGATCTAAATCTTAGCATCTGGAAGCCTGTACAAGCATCTTCTTGGAATAGGTTTCAAGACATTTCGTTCAACCAAAGCTGAGAAAGGATCAAAATGGGACACCAAGCAACTGACAATAGCTTCCCGTCTAAATGAAACTGGCTGCTTCATTTGAAAGTACACAAATGAAAAAATGCCTTTCCATTTACTATAGCCCCTTCGGGTAACCCCGCACCCTCCCACCCAAGGTCCATCTAGGAGATGCAGTGTAGCATCGGGATGTCCCCAAGGCCACCGCCTGCAGGTCCACGGGGAGCGGGGAGAGAAGACCAGCTTCATCTGAGAGATACTCGCTGGGCTTGGGCTTCGTCTAGGATTTTCTGGGTGCAGCAATTCACCGACACTAGGACAGGACATATTATCTGAGTACCATTCAATCTTAATGAAGATCTGTGAAGACACAATAAATACAGTAGTCCGGATATCAATAACTTTAGCAGGAAATAAAGGACGACTTTCGTGTTAATGAAACAAAGATGAAGGAGCTTTTGGCAAGTTTGCCTCTACCCTACCGGAGTGCTCGGTACCTCCTGGGCGCTCATGAATATCTGTAGTGCGCTTTACACTTCATATTATGTTTGCAAACAGAATTCTTTTGTCTTTCAAAGGCTCTTACAAACTTGGACACCAAACAGACCGACGTTCAATCAAATACAAAGAATTTAAATTATTCAGGATCCCAAGCGATTCTGTTGAGCCTTTCTTTCTCCCATCCCCCATCTCGGTGCCGGGGATTTTAATCCGGTAATGAGTGTGTCAGGGAACCTCCTCGGGCCCTGCCCCACGGCGGCGGGACCAGCTCCCGGGGCCGGGGGGGGGGACGGGGAGACCCCCGGCGGAACGGCCCGGCCCGGCGGCTTCCCCCGCCGCCCCTCGGGAGGGCTCTGGGGCCGGGGCCGGGGGCGGCGCTGGAGCTCAGGCATCCCCGAGCTCACGGTACAAAGGCGTCGGAGCATCGCCCGGAGCAGGCGGAGGGGATGGGCTCACCCCGGAGGGCGGGTTTCCCCGGGAAGGCGGCGGGAGCTTCTGCCACCGCCCCGGGCACCCGCCTCTGCCCGGGAGAGGCGACGCCCGCCTTCAGCCCTGCTCGCTGCACCGCCACACAGCACACAACAACACACAACACACAGCACACAACACACAACACACAACACACAGCACACAACACAACATGGTCCCTCCCTGCCCCTCCCTCCCTTCCTCCTTCCCTCCAAAGAGCCGAAACTCCTGGGCGTACCACAACCCTCCACAATTCTCGGGCATCACGGTGCCTACAAAAGTAACGTTGAATAAAACGTGGGGTTATAATAATCGCATATGCTCGCTTTCTCGGTTTCTTTTAAGGCGAAATTAATTGTCTTGTGGGATTGTAACCCGTTACTTGTAGCGCAAAAGAAAGGGAAAGGGGGGATCGCTAACGCGGAGTCTAAAACACACGTGCACATATGGTTCAGTTTGTGTTTTATTACAATTAAAATGCATTCACTGGGAGCCAGGATCAGGTACAGCTAATGCCAGTATTCCAGCAGTGGAAGCCACAAAGAGCTGATGGGCTTCGGTTTCGCAGCCGCTCTTGCAGAATGAAAGACGTTAATACTCATACCTTTAAAAAAATTAAAAAAAAAAAAAAAGAAAAGAAAAAAGAAAAAAGAAAATAGTTGAAGTGCTTCTTTTAGGACTGGTCTTTCACGTTAACTCGTTCACATGGACACTGCAGAAGAAATAAAACAAGTCGTTATTGCATTACCCGGTAATCAGTATGGAAAAGCCCAACCCTGCTTATGGTTAACAAGAATTGTTAATGATATATAAATCATTTGATCTATTGTGCCCTCCAGACTAAAAGGAAAATAATGGCAACCCCAAGCAAATGGTCCTAATTAGTGTCCAAGAAACCACTTCCTAAATGTATCCTTCCAACTCATTCCAGTTTGACTGTCCAGAGCAATCTTTTGTTCTTAAACTTTTTTATTTTGTGTGTAACTACAAAAATGCTCTGCATACCGGAGCTCCGAAAATAGCTCATCTAAGGGCACAGCACAACCCCAGGAGCAGAAGGGAGGGCGAGATGATCTCAGTCTGTCAGTGTTGTCTGTAAATAGGTCCTGATAATTTGAAACTTTATTACCCCAAAATCTTGACTCCTGATAAGTCTCCTTAGAGAAGCACCAAAGGGGATTTCATCAAAAAAGAGCAAGTCTCTGCCGCCATTCAGACAGCAATACGAACTTTAAAAAGGAAAAGCTAAAACTGTAGCTTTTTTTTGGACCCGGAACCAAGCCGTACATACCCGAGCTGTCTATCACACGCTTTCACCCACTCTTTCCACCGCTTTAAAGTGTGACCTTTAAATGAAATACATGGTGGGTATACTCATACATACCACACTTGACATGCTACTCCGGGGAAGATTCAGGCACCAACTGGAGGAATAACAAGAGCTTGGCCGGTGTGTTATTGTGGCCTTGATCTTGTCTCCACTGAAAGCCACAAAACTTTTGCCGTTTGCTCCCACAGGAGACCTGTTTCTTGGATGTAAAAAATACAAACTCTTATTTCTCCGATGCTTCATGAAAACCACCCACCCTTCTACCGAATCCCACATCTTTTGTCACTTCTTTATCCCACTACGAAACACAATTCCTAATGTTTTAAACGCAGTGCTGAAAAACTGAACTACCTTGGAGACAAAACCCATCTTGCTCCTATCAGTTTGGGTTTTGTTGTTGTGGTGGTTTTTAAGGCAAGATTGCTGGAAACAGGCTTTCTGGCATGTTGGTTCTCTTCCTAGACATGACGGACTTGCCAAAGGGAACAGAACTTCTATAAAACGACAGTCAATTAAATAACTTCTGTGCAGTGCTCTTTATGCTATTTCCAAGAGATAATGCTAATGGGTAACGCTGCGATATTTTATTTTAACTTTAAGAAAATCCGTCAACGACCTTCCCTGGACTTAAAACGTCCTTGACTCGTTCAAAGTCAGGGTAAAACCCATAGGATGGGTTGCCAACTCTTAGTATACCAGCATAAGTGGTTTTACAAAGTCACGAAGACAACATACAAGCTGATGCCGAAAGGCAAAAGGCTTCATACTCACAGGTCTGCATGCAGAGCCCCAGCATCTACCTCTCTGCAAGTGGGAACTTCGGAGAGCACTAAATAACCAGTCACTGGATCCGCAGAGGTCTGCTGGCCGGCCTCAGAGCAAAAACAACCAACCTCAGCTCTTAGGAGTCTTCAGCTCTTTGAGGTTTCATGTTGCAAGTGAGTTTGATATTATCTTCTTATAACTGCTTAAATGAAACAGGCTTGCTAGGTGATTCAGGATTACATGCGTTTGTAAAGAAGCTATAGCCAGAATATATAATATCATATATAATAATATAATTCAGAAAGACTTAACAAATAAATAAAGGGGGTATGTTCCAGGAGCGCATGCGGCGTGCCTACAGCTCCCGTTCTCTCACAGCCACAGCCTCCCGACTCCCGCCCGTTCCCCCGGAGACCCGCTACGCCGTGTCCAACGCACCCTCGGTGCCCGGCGCTGCGGCGGGACGGGAGCAGCCCGCAGCCCCGGTGGCGGGAGGAGCGGGCTGGTCCCAGCACCGGCGGCTTCGCGGGACATCGTGGAACATTTACGTTCCGTTCACTTTGGACGTTTTCCCTTTTTTTCTTTTTTTTTTTTTTTTTCACTATTTCTTCTCCCCTTTCCAAATTTCAGCTCCTCGAGTTTGGCTTGTGAAGCATTTCACGCAGTTATCAGAGAGCATTTGATTTATTTTACTGCTCTTCATAGCTCCTTGATCAAAAGCACCGTTTACCCCTCCAGCCTCCCCGCTACAAGGTGCCCCCCGATCGCAAGCCCGGGGCTACCGAGCCGGTGCTTCCGGCAGGGGGGCAGCGGGG